TCAGCTGTTTGTCGGCTCAGCGCGGCAGCCATGTAAATTTAAATGAAGCCGTGATCATTTAAACTGCGGCTTCATTTGCCTTTGCCTACGCCTACAACCCTAATCTACATGGCTCCATCCATGAAGCCATGTAGTCTAGACACAGCCAAAGGTACGGATAGGGTCCAGAGTGACCTAGACAAATTGGAGGATTGGGCCAAAAGAAATCTGATGAGGTTCAACAAACACAAGTGCACAGTCCTCCTTCACTTAGGATGGAGGAATCCATTCACAGCTACAGGCTGGGGATCAAGAGGCTAAGAGACAGTTATTCAGAAAAGGATCACGGTAGAGGAGAAGTTGGATATGAGTCAATGGTGTGCCCTTGTTGCCAGGAAGGCTAATGACATATTAGGGTGCATTAGGAGAAGCACTGTCAGCCCATGAAGCGAAGTGATTATTCCCCTCTATTTGGCACTTGTGAGGTCAAATATGGAGTACTCTGTCCAGTTTTGGGCCCCTCACTACAGAAAGGATGTGCACAAATTGGAGACAGTTCAGCAGAAGGCAACAAAAATGATTAGGGGCACATGACTTACGAGGGAACTAGGCTTGTTTAGTTTGCAGAACAGAAGAAATTAGGGGGCATTTGACAGCAGCCTTCAACTACCTGAAGGGGGGTTCCAAAGAGGATGGAGTCAGGATATTCACAGGGGTGGCAGATGACAAAATGAGGAGCAATGGTCTCAAGTTGCAGTGGGGAAGGTCTATACTGGATATTAAGTAAAACTACTTCACTAGGAAGGTGGTGAAGCACTGGAATGGGTTGCCTAGGGAGGTGGTGGAATCTCCATCCATAGAGGTTTTTAAGGCCAGGCTTGACAAAGCCCTGGCTGCGTTGATTTAGTTGGAGATGGTTTTGCTTTGAGCAGGAGTGGGAAACTTATAATAGAATATAAAGATACAATATGGAAGCAAAATATTCAGAGTGAAACAAATCTCTTGCTTGATCCTTCCTGTAAAAGAAGCAACACATGAAGCACAGGGCACAGGGAAGCAGTTCAACATATATACAAATGAGGCATCTTACTATCTGCAGTTATACCATTGTACCATAAAATTCAGTCCTCCGATTATAAAGTGGATAATAATTACATATGGCCACATATCCTATGTAGTAATTAGTATTAGGTATTTTTAGGTTCCTGTAAGTATGGGTGTAGAGTGCCGCATGTTAACAGCACCATTATCAAAAGCACTCATATTATTGTAAATAAATTATAGCATGGCCATACAGCATTACTTCTTATAGACATATATGTTTTACGGCACCATGCATGAATCCACAGGGCTTGATCTTGTGATAAACACAAGATTAAATTAACGCCAATCTTCAACTACAGCACACTCACTCCTTCATAGTGCAGAAGCAATTTTGATCCTGAAAGTTAAAGATGCTCGTGTTCCACAGAAGACTGTGCTTCACATATGTACCCATCAATGTTGTGCCAAGGGTAGAGAATTCCTTAGCCTGCTTATGTGAGTGGCCTGTTTATAACAGCTGGAAAGCAAAATCAGAACTCTCATTTTAATAGTGTTTGCCTATTAATTATCAATCTGTTTGTCCAGAAAGCCAGGTGAGGAAAATGACATATTAACACTAATCTGGCAGGATTACACAGGAATTATTAGAACTAGGTGATGTCTTAATATAAGGTCATTTAAGTAATAAAAGAGGAAGAAGAAAAGCCTACAAAAATAAATGCAGGAAGACTACATATTAAGGCTGGAGCTAAATTGGTTCTATGGTAACAAGAATATGCAAATAAAAACATCCGAGCGGTTCTAAAACAGGAAATGAAAAACTGCAACATAACAAAAACATTTCCCAGAGCAGACATTCCGGCTCTGTGCCAGCACTTTAAAAACACTGTTAATAACAGTGCAGTAGCAGTTCAATAAGGAAGCAGCTGTGAAGAGAACCAATGGCATGTTACAGAAGGGCACAAAGATCAGCAAATTATATTTTTTTTAAATAATTTTGCTTACAAAAATATGTTGTTCTTTAAACCAAAAAAGGCCTTCTTTTATACTAGCAATTAATTAATAATAGCTCTTGCTTAAGTAGGGCTTTTGAGGTCAGATTTTTAAAGCATTTTATGAACTAAAGATACAGAATTCTCTAGTGGGATTTTAAAAGAGATGAGCACCTAGCCTATTAATTTCTAGTACCTAAGTACCTTCACACCTTTACAAATTTGGCACTTCACGCACTCGCCTCAAAATGCTTTAGAAATCACAGAAGGATCATGATGCTCATTTTACTGGGTGGGGCTGGAAGAGGAGTTGGGGAACGGAGTAAGTGATTTATCCAAGATCACACAGCAGCTCAGCAGCAGAGCCAGAAATCTAGAACCCACATCTCAGTTTAGTACCCTAGCCAATGGACTACAGCCCCTGCTGCACTGAAGAAACTAATTTTCAGTGATTTTTCTTGGATGATATCACCGTATATTTTGGCTTCTAACTGACTTTGAAGAAACCATATGACCAAAAATGATATTACCAGAAATGGTATTGCCAAAATAGGGAAAAAATATCTTTGAGTGCATTTAAGAAAGAAGCAGATAATGAGTTGTAATAGTTAGCTCCGTCTTTCATTGTCCCTCATGGAGATAAACAATTCATGGAGCCCCACCATGCTTCACAGAGATAAGTACCATCACCCTTAAAAATGAAAAAGTGAGGTGCAGAAAGGCAAGGGAAAGATTCTGCCTCCCACACCAATGTCAGATACCACCTTACTCCACATATACTATCTTCAGTGTCACTATCTCTCTGTACATGTGGCAATCTACATCAAGAGACCTATTTGCAGAATAAGGCATTAGGAAGCACAAGTATGAGCTCAAGAAAGCTCAAGAAACTGAGCCCAAATGATATGTCCTCCCTCAGTTATGTAGTTTATTAGATAACAGAGGCATCCAAAAGAAATGTGATACTCTTGAAAAGACTGTGTTTAACAAAGTGGTCTGTGTGACCTTCCGGTCACAAAATGAATGATGCCATATTAAATGAGTTCCCATTTACAGTGACACAGATGATTCCCCTGTGATACAAGTTTCTTTTGTAACTGACCTATTGGATTCATTTCCCTGCAAGTTTAGCTAGCGCAGCAGCATGCTAGTGATCTGCTGAAGGCCACAGCCACTTTCTTACCTGTAATAACAATCTCTCATCCCCTATGACGGCAGCTTGGTTCCAATCAATCACTTCAGAGAATGGCAACTCCCATCCATTGCTCAGCATAACTGGGACACAGGCAGCCTGCACACAGACATTAGAAGAGGCAGTGAGTGGGTGGTCATTGATTAGCATGAACTCTGAAGTCCATGCAAAATTGAATTATTGGCATTTTCTGCAGAAGTCAGGACTCAAGCTCTCGCGAAAGGCATTAAAAAAGAAAACTTGCAAAGGGCCTTACAAGGCAGACATAACAATTCATCTGCCAAAATCCCAGCTGATTTCTACTCTCTAAACAGGCTTCACATTGTTTGCATGCAGGGAAACCCTGGTTTTTCATGTACAAAGGAGAATGTGCACTCAGATGTAGATGTTTTGTGAACCAACGACATGGTTCTCTAGGGAGGTAATTCTCTATTAAATTACATAAGACGGTTCACAAAAACCCTTTTCAAAATGTATTTACTATTTAATTCTATAGCTCTTTTCCATGAGGGTAGATGTTTCGTTATCCACTTTGCACATCCTAGTATGTGTTCTGTGCTTGCAAACAAATACACACACAAAACCTGGTGCAAATATGGGGCTTTATATTTAAATAGACACGTTTATCATCAACTTTTGTCCCACATACTATGTGCTCTTTGGCGTAGCAGCCGTCACTGTATAATGTTTATTAAACACCACATTACTAGTACTGTATCAATCAATCAATCAATCACTACCACTTATTGGTCAATTGGATGAGAACTTGAGACCTCATTCAAAGTCTGCTGAAGTCAGCCGAAAGGCTTGAGTTCAATGGGATCTGGATCAGACCATCACTGTGGTTCAGTTTGTTCTAGACCAAGCCAGGTTTAGCTGATCTGAATGATCACCCAGACAGTACAATACACGAATAGATCTTCCTCCACACCCAGTAATAAGTGGTAACCCGGGGAAGCTTTCTAATTACAGTACATTCTCCCTCACTCTATTGTGAATTTTGTGTAACTTTGATCTAGTCAAGTCCATGCAACAGCAGCATTTGCAATGGGTAAAGATCTATTGGTCAGTAAGGAAACTGCATTATACTGTCTAAATTTAAAAAGCCCCCAACACTACAACAAATAGCAGAGTTTTCATCTTCAGAATATTTCACAGACATTGATTAAGCCTCACTGCTTCCCTAGGAAGTAGGTTTAGAGGAGGAATGCTAGAGAAAAAAAGATTATGTGACTAGTTAAGCAACACAGCGAGTCAATATCTTAGTAAAAACAAGACATGAGGAGTTGCTGGCTCTTCATGCAGTGTTTAGCAGAGAGTGAAACAGAAAGAGAAGTGACTTTGGCAGGGGGAGATACAGTGGCTTGATGGGAGAGGTGGGAACAGAACCCCCATTTTCTGGCTTCTGCTCCCATGCTGAATATAGCCCTACCAAATTCATGGTCCATTCGGGTCAATTTCTTGGTCACAGGATTTTTAAAATTGCAGATTTCATGATTTTAGCTTTTTAAATCTGAAATTTAATAGTATTGTAATTCTAGTGGTCTTGACCTAAAAAAGGAATTGTGTGTTTGTGGAGGGCGAGGGAGGGGTCACAAGGTTTTTGAAGGGTGGCTACAGTACTGCAGTACTTATGTCTGCAATGCTGCTGGTGGTAGCACTGCCACCAGCAGCTGTGCAGAAGCAAGAATGATATGGCATGGTATTGCCCCCCACCTGCTTCTTCTCTGCTGCCTGCTGAGCTGGGCCCCCAATCAGCAGCTGACTCTCTCTGGCAGCCTAGCTCTGAAGGCAGCAGCACAGAAATAAGAGTGGCAGGCTCTGGTGTTCCCACTCCTACCTCTGTGCTGCTGCTGGCTGTGGCACTGCCTTCAGAGCTGGATGTCCGGACAACAGCTGCCACTCTCCAGCTGCCCAGCTCTGAAAGCAGAGTACTAGTAAGGGTGGCAATATAATGATGCCCCTAAAATAACTCTGTGATCCCCTCTCCCAACAACTCTATATTGGGTCAGGACCTCCAACTTGAGAAACACTGGTCTCTGCAAAATCTTACAGTCTAGGGTAAAAGCACACAGAAGGTTAAATTTCACAGTGAGGGACCAGATTTCACGGTCCGGGACTCATTTTTCATGGCTGCAAATTTAGTAGGGTCCTACTAATGAATCACATTGTCTATCACAGGATTTTCAAACCTTATGTCTTTGCTCTCCTTGCTGGGCAAACAAAAGAAAGGATCTTGCTGACAGAAAGATTTCAAAAGGTGAAGACGAGTTGGGGAATCCTGCCTCTAATGCAATATGGAACAATGTTTTAAATGCATAGACAGCAGCTGGTTGGAAAGTCCTTCTTGAAGTGTTTTCAGATGGGAGGTAGCGCAACAGAACCATCCCGTGTGCATTCAGTATGCAGCACGGCAAACAATGCGTAGGCAACTTCGCTTCAGAATAGGGATGTAAAGGGTGATGCTTACCAGGTAACAGGTTGCCTGGCGACTCAACCAGGCTGGAGGAGTCCCCACGTGTTGTGCCACGGGTGGAGCGCCACTCCAGCCCAGCCAGCCTACCCGATTGCAGGCAGGGGGAGAGAAGTGCTTCAGTTTGGCTGCAGGATCCCACTTAACCAGTTAAACGTAACATTTAACCGTTACATCCAGTGTTCCCTCTAAGCTGAGGGACAGCACAGCTTCACAGATGATTAATTAGCTGACTGACTGGGTGGGAACACTAGTTACAGCCTTACTTCAGAAAACAAATAAGCTACTTTATTGCCCCAGGACTTGCTAGAACAGGTCAAGGTCTCCCTGGGGAATCCAGATTTACTTGGGCAAACAACTGCTCTAAATGAATCCAACTTCACCTCCTCTACAATGAGCAGGGAAACCCTCCTCATGGAGGTAACGCAATTCAATCTTCAGATGAGCTCAGAGCCCTCCTGTGAATAAACCATCAATTGCTCCAGAAGCATAAATAGAGGCTTTCGCGATATGGATTATTGCCCACTGGGGAAATTAAATACATCCCCAATCACCACCTCTTGATATCGCCAGCTGAATTCTGACCAGCACACTCAAAGGTTTAATCCCCAGCTCTTACCTGCAGAGCCTCCAGAAACCTGAAGGATCCAAGCCTGCGGCCACGGGGAACCAGACAGAAAGTGGCATTGTGCAGCATTTCACGATAATCATACCTAACAGGAACGGGGGAGGGGGGAGTGAGAAGGCGAGGGAAATAAGAAAGAGAAAATTAAATTAACGATGAGTCCTAGAGAAACTGTGCATGAAAATGTAAACATCTGCTGATACACATCTGGATAAAATCATCTCCAGCCAAGCCCTTGTCTGTATGCTCACCATCAGATCAAACAGCTCTCTCTGTGTCTCTTTTTCTCCTTCTCCAGCTCCCTTCCCTTCCCCCAATGTCTTTTTTGTTTGTAATGGAAAGGCAATCAATGTGGTTAACAGAGACTAGGTGAAAGGGATTTTTCCTTTAAAATGATCTATGTTGTTGGTCTGAATATACATACGAGTGTTTTTTACTTCTAAAATATCTCTGGAGAAGCTTTGAGTTTGAAAGGAAAATACAGACAGTTAAATCCAACTGTCTTCACAAAAACAGGGTTCCAAGACTGCACATAGTGAACCAGATTTATTCACAAACAAGCATTAATTTCTTCACTTTGGAACTAGAGTTTATAACGACAGGCCAGAATATTCAAAGAAAATATTTCCTAATCATACAAAGCAAATATTTCCTCATCATTCAAGAAATAATAAAGCAGGGTCATCAGCTGTGACTGTGGGGGTGAAAGGTGGAGCAAGGGGAAATAAGCTAGAGGGAAAAAGAACATAGAAACAAATTTTGATAATTAACCATAGAGCTCCAATGGCCTATGATCCTTAAAATTAAAGCTTTAAGCTAGATACTACTGTTTTTGTTCCAATTCTATCAATCACCTCAAAACCATTTACCAAAAACACACATCAAATCCTAATAGTTTCAAGCCAGTTATTAGCTAATTGCACTTCTGTATTAATGAAAACCTATGGAACTGTAAATGGGGCTGACCCTGTAGCCTGCTGGGTCTTAGACAAAAGGATCAAGATTAAATACCCCTCATTTCTCAAGAGTTACTGGGTCCTCTGGAGACAGGTGCTACTTTAACAGTAGCTACTTTGACAGCAACATGCGGGACTGAAATTTTCTAACTCTAGTAATCTAATTTAATCATGGCCTGCAGGCAGTGAATTTTTTGGGGGCATGTATATAGCTATATATAGATATATATATTTATCTTTTAAGTCCATATCTACTTCTATATTCTCACACAGGGCAGGCAGATGGGAGTAAGCCAATTTTCAATTATAAACTCTGTCATTAGGAAGGGCTCTTCAGAAGGACCATTTGCTTAAACAAGTGTGTATAGCTAATTTGCACAAGAAAAGGTCGCTGTGAATGGATTAAGATTATCTCCACTGAGAGTAAAATAAAAACTCTTGTTGCATTAATTAAAACTACAAAACAGACTTCAAAGTGGACATTTTTAAAAAACAGGTCTCGAGTTTGGTTCTATATTTTCCCACTTGAGTGGCAGTAATTTCTTTTTCTCAACACAGAATATTGATTGGCAACAAAGTCCCAGCTCAACAGCCTGCAGTGATGCAGCACATGGAGAAAACTGTTAGGAAGCTGGAATAAAAAAGTTGCCATATTAAAATGTTCATTTTTCACATTGCAAGAGGCCTAACACTTATCACTGTCAGTATATATTGTACGACAGGGAAGTTTAATAAACACCAAAAATAGAATCCCCTGTGGGACTGGAATGCTTCAGTCATTTGTCCTCATCATTAGCTAGCTAAAACTTTAAAATCGTGTTAATACCTTAGACTGCAATGAGCACCACAAAATGGAAAATGCAAAATCAGAACAGAAAGGAAAGAAGGAAATGAGACGAGTGGAAGTGAGAAAGCCTCAAGAGGCCAGCAATTTTCACATTGTGCACCCTTTTTATATCTAATATATTGATATGGGAGAAGATTGTCAAAGAAACAAAGGAGTTAGACTCCCGTCTCCCGTTTAAAGTCAACAGGTGCCATTTGTGCTTTTTATCATCTCCTCTGTAATTAATTGTTCATTTCATAAACAGTCTGGCCACATACACACAGAAGACCTTATCCTAACCTTGATGTATGTGTTTCCATTTCCTTCAAGGGGTATTCCACAAATGTAATATGGGCAGAATCATTGTTCAATAACATACCCATCAATAAGATTCATGCTACAGTTAATGAGCTGTACCAGAGATTCTTATGACAACTAACTTTCACTTGGATTTCAACTTCCATATTTTAAGGTGGTCCTTACTAGCAGTGAGAAATGAATGATTAATAATTTAATCCACATCAGATAACACTCTGGGTTTAAGAACCTATTTCTTTGAAATCCTCAAACATGGTATATTAAAATTGTCATAATTTATTCCTATGAAATGTTGAAGGCAATGTAGATACACACATTTAACTGAATGCAAGCTGCAGCTCAATATCTTTTAACACAAACTCTGTATTAAAATTGAACATAATACACAATGCACACAATGTCTATGTACAGATCACACACAAGTATATTTGAAAACCTGAGACCCCCATTACCGAATGTGTTATTTTCTTCATGCTGTTATGTACTTTTGAAGAAAACAAGTCACAAAAGTATTATAATGAGATAAATTTACCCGTAGTCCATAGATGAACAAAAAGCTTCTGGTTAGCTGCAAGTATTTCTAGAAACGCTAGGTGCAGGTTCAGAAACTGAAAGGGGATAAAATCAGCAGTAACAATAACCTCAAAAGAATTAAGATATGAATGTGACCAACACCTGGCACCAAGAATATGCTTTGCAGGCACCGTAGCGCACGTACTTATTTGTCTTCTGAAACTATTTGAAAGTGTGTGATGATTATGCTAGCACAACCCTTTCACCAGATCCCTTTCTGCATGATATGCACTCTAAGTCATTGTCTCTTACACAGCAAAAACTCAGCCACGCACCCACAACCAGACACAGAACAGACTACAAAATAACAGGCATCAAAAAATTTCCACTGAAGAGGATGGAGCTGAGGAGCGACAGAAAAACAAAAGGACTTAAGTTTCAGACACTTACATAGTCCTCTCTTTTTTACTAGATATGGTGGAAAATGGAAACACTGCACAGGATTTAAAATATTGTTTTATGGGGGAATAAAGAGTATTCTATCACCTTGCCAAGGAAGTGATGAAGCAGTATTTTATCACCTGAGAATTTCAGGTGCCACAATTGGAAGCACTCAAACATTTATTTTTAAGTTTGTGAACAGTTACATTAAAGTCAGCGGGATTACTCATATCCATAAAGTTAAGTATACATGTAAGTGCTTGCAGTACTGGGATGGTAAATTCATCCTTTGCCTGAAAGGTAGAATGCTAGAAATTGGAGATGGAAAGACATGGTAGAATATCAATCCCATGGCCAGTACACTAGCTCAATGATACTCAGAGTGAGGCTCAGGTGCTGCAAATGGCTCTTTAATGTGTCTCCTGCAGCTGTTTGCAGCATATGGTATTAAAACATTGTGACTGAATTCTTAACCAATCTAAGGGTGTGTCTTGACAGCATCCTTTTGTTGGAATAAGCTATGCAACTTATTATATCAAAAGAGCTTATTTTGAAATTTGGCGCTGTCTACACAGCACCAAATTTCAAAATAAGGCACTATTCCAACAAATCCCTTATCCCTCACGGAATGAGAGTTACAGGGAAGCCAGAATAGCACACCCGCTATTGTGGGAAATAGCAGGCACTTTTAAAAATGCAGCATTGCTATTTTGGGATACTTCCGGTATCTTGAAAGAGCAATGCAGTCTAGACATACCTACAGTTATTAACCCAACAGGATGCTTTTACTATGTCATTAAACAATGACTTGGGCAGTCATTTTGCTATAACAATAATTATAGAACAGTGGTCACCAATCAGTAGCTCAGGATCTACAGGTAGATCATGGAGTCTCTTAAAGTTGATTTTAACTGGTTTGGCTAGGAGGCTATCAAGTGCCAGCACTTCAGCTGCCCCGGCCCGCGCTGCCCTGGTGCTCCTGCCCAGAGCCTCAGAGCTGCTCCCAAGAGCTTCCTGCTTGTTGTGCAGGGTTGGGGAGACAGAGGCAGGGAGCTGCTGATGTCACTCTGTCCCCCTTTCCTGTACCTCATCATCAGAGTGAGGATGGTGGGGCCTCAAAGAAAGGGCAGAACAGGTATTTGGGTTTGAGGTAGATCCTGGACTGACAAATTAAAAAAGTGATCTTGTGCTTAAAAAGGGTGGAGACCACTGTTATAGAATATAGTAAATGAAACAATCAATTCATGCTACTAGGGCTCTTTTCAGTAATGCCGATGGCTAATTTGGCTCTTGGACCACTGAGGTCTGCATATCACTGATGTAGCTAGGTATTACTATGGTCCTATTACCATACTATTTGAATCCCTCAGTCTTCAATGGACTTATCATTCCAACAGCCCTGTGAGGTAGAAAAATATTATCCCCATTTTAAAGATGGGAAACTGAGGCTCAGAAAGACTTATCTAAACAATGGGGTAATGCATTCTGTGGTGGTATGATTTTTGAAGTGCACTAATGTGTTGTACCTTATCTGAACCATGGAGATCCTGCTGTTGCTTTTTAATGTAGTACAGTTTGGAAAAGTATTTTGTTAAAGCGCAACAGAAGAACCTTTAGTGCACACTAGCAAGGTCTACGTAAACCAATTAACAAGCAATGAATCTGTGCACTTCAAAGTATTGATAACGGAGGAACTACATTAATATTCTCTTATTTACTAGAGAAAAGATATACAATGCCACAACACTACATATACAATAGCACTTTTAATATAATATACCCTAAAGGTATTAACCTTAATTCAATAAGGATTAACAAAGTTTATCTTAATTTCATTTGATTTGTTCAGGATAGTATGGGATACAGCCCATCTGTTACAACTTGCTTGAGGTCACACAGGATGACTGTGGTAGATCAGGAATTGAACTCAGGTCTCCACAAGCCAGGGGGACATATTCACAGTAGGTATAAATGACCATACAGGCAGTCCCCGGGTTACGTAAAAGATAGGGACTATAGGTTTGTTCTTAAGTT